CATGACTCTCTCTCTGTAGTTCATAGACATTCCCTTCTTTACCCCAGTGTGTCTGATGTAGGTTTTAAGGTTATTCAGCTTTACCTCAGGGCCCCTCTTTGGCCATCAGAAGACTGTGTTACTGAAATGTTTTTGCTATCAGAGAGACAGAAAGTGGTCCTTCTGGGCAGACGAATACAAAACCCAAGTGTCTGAATCAAGCGTGCTTTGTGTTCAAGAGTTTTGCAGAGCTTAAAAAACATTGGAGAAAAGGATACTGGAACACAGTTCTAGCAAACAATGGAGCAGAAATGCAGAAAAAGGCACTCGCCCATAAAATAGCTTAATGAACCGCATTCCAATTATTTTTAAAGAACATGGATCTGGGCATAATTTGGGTTTAAAATGGTATTTTAATCTCAACACTTCCAATGTTTTCCTCAATATTTTCAAATCAAATGAAATTTTGTATGATGTCTATTGTCAAGCAGAAGATAAACTGCAACCCATTTTGTGCTCAGGGGCGCGCAGGTCTTAAAATGTGGCCATGGACATTGGACCGCAGCAGAAATCAATTGTATGCTACACCAACAAGAACAGGTTGTAACGTCTGTGGCATGTTATCAATATGTGCATAAATTGGAGGTTGCATGGTGCAGGCTCTTTGTGTGCACAGACCCTCTCACAGCTACCAGCAAATCTTCTCCTCCAGAGCTAAGGTCAAGACGCGAACATGCTCCTAATGACAATACAAATTAAACGGTGTAATGAGGGCGAGCGCCGTGTCCACCATCTGGGTGTTAATGTGTTACGAAGGCTGCGTCGACACATTTGCTCCAAACAAGTCATAATTGCAGGATTTTCCATAGTTAAATCACAGGTAATCTTTCAAATAATTTGACCTCCAAATGTTACATAAGAGGAGAGTTTAGTACATTTTGGACAAATGGGTTTTTCTGTTCTTTTTTTCATTGGAGCAATCCACAATGTGGACAAACATATGATCCAGAATGTTCTCCAGAACAACTGTTGACTGGAATAACAAGTGATGGAAAGTTATAATCATTTTGAAGGTAGAGTCATCTGGGTTTCCCTCAGGGTTCCTGAAGGGTGGAAATATATGTATTTAAGAACATGCCAACCCAACATTCGTTGTTACATTTAGTATATCTGTTAATGTAAATGTACAATGCCATGTGCTGCGCCAGAGTAGATGCAGTATTAACACAAAAACAGTGTGAATCTACCCTGTGCAGCAGGGTTATTTTATGATAGGCTGACATGTCCTCCCCTGAGAGACTGCTCTGAAAAACAAAACAGGTTGCCATGGGAACAGCTGGGGCTAAAGGAGGAGGGTGTGACTGTGTTGTTGTGCTCAAGGTGGTGAGATGGACATTGGCAGACATTACAGCGGGTAGCGGGCTGAGTGTTCGGCGCTCCTGTGCCATTTGTGCTGCTCACCAAGTCCTCACTCCTCTCCCCTCTCCGTCTCCCGTGTTGCTCTCTTGTTGTGGTCCTGAAGTGAGTGGGAGTCTGCGAGGAGAACAAACGCTGAATGTCAATGAGAAGGCTGAGAGGAAACTCATTTTCTCGATCTGTCTCTCTCTGATGGGGCTTCTATTCTTTATTTACTAACCTCATAGCTCAGCTCACTGCGGTTATTACACAACACACTTCCTTTTCATTGATGTGGAAATGTCGCTAAGGGAATATAATTAGCTCATCAGATAAAATCTGTTTAACAAAGTGTCTTTATATTCTATGAAATGCAATTAATTAAAGCTCCATTTAAAGCTGGTGGCATTTAATAGCAGTCAGTGGTTTCCCTGCAGTGTTATCTCAGAATTTCAGATGTGTGATTCTTTATTTGTTTTTTTTTTTACGGCTAACAAAAAGGAACAAAGTGTGAAAATGTGTTCAGTTTGTTTTTAGTAGTTAGCTGTTTGCCTTTATATAATGCTTGTTTACAGTGTACAGAGTGTAATTGTCCTTAACTGTTTGTTTAAAATATTTTATAACCTATTGGGTTTATAAAACAAAGGACATTATACATTATAAATATAATATTTAGTGTTAAATAACTAACAACTCAAACTAAACTAAAACCAGAGGAAAATCCAAATACACATAGTTAAGAGACTTTTGACATATTAACAACTTTAATATGTATTTTTTATAACATATAAGTATATCTAATAACAATTTACATCACTATTTTTCACAATGTAACCTAAATAGTTTGACTGCTACCATTAAGGGACAAAGACGTCTTGTGGACATGGTCACATGGAGTCACTGACATGAATGAATTAGTTCAATTTAACATTGGTCAACCGTTACTCAACCGATTCTGGGTCAGTATTGATAGATCAATACCACGTAATCAATACTCCCATCACTAGACAGAACATATTATTGGACGACCATAGGCCACGTGAGTAAAATATCACAATAAATTATTTCTAAAACTGCAAAACAACTATTGAGTTTAAAAAAGAAAACTCATTTCATTGTCATGTTTGCGCGTTTCCAGTTCTGGCCACCAAGAGATAGATGGAAACACTTTAAAAGAACTCTGAAATGCTGTTAGAGTTGGTCTGGTACTTCGTTTCTTTCTCTGTGGTTCTTGGCTGCTGTCATCAGTCTTGTCCTCTGTACCAGAGAGACATTAGTATTCCCCAGACCCAGACTCTGACTGGACCATCTGCTGCTTTTGGACCGCTCATCTTGCCCCCAGTTCCCTTTTCCTCTGTTACACCGACACAGAGAGGACCAGAGATTTAAATACATGCAAGCGGCCAATAATGGAAGTGTCTAAACCTTAACGTCACTGCAGCTGAAGTGCATTGTGGTAGTCGTGAATCGCTATGTCCATGGAGACAGTCCTGCACAAGGGATCCTAATACTGTAGCAAACTTTGATGATGCAGGCAGGCTGATGTGCTGCCAGCGTGTGTGTGAGAACTGTGCGTCAAGCCTTTTAGCAACAGAGCCTGTGCTCAATCAAATCAGTGTGTGTTGCTGGTGTGTGTGTGAGTGAGAGAGAGAAAGAGAGAGAGAGGCTGTCTTTATAAAGCGCTAATTAGCCAGTGTAATCTGGTGATGCAAAGTGTTTGTATGAAAGGCCAAACGAAGTGAAAGTTTGTATCTTATAAATTCTACTTACATTCATTCGGAGGTGTGTGGCTGGCACTGTTTTTGTTTTGTCTAGAATAAATGATGTCGCCACAAATGTAAGCAAGACAAAACACTGGAAATTGGGTTTGAGAAATGCTGGATTTTCCATTTTAAATGTCACAAAATATGTACATGATAAAAACAAGCTTGGCAGCACTCGGCCTGCGGTGTAGGTCAACAAAGACAGGGGTCAGAGGGTATCTGATCCCGGGGGAGGCAGTTACCCATAGTTACCAGTCCACAACCTCGGCTCAGGAGAATTAAAAGAGGTGGGGCCTGTGCTCCACAGGAGGATGCTGCACTATAATGTGGAGAAAAATAGAGGGTGGAGTCAGGAAGGCGCTTCATGTGAAGCAGCTGGTGGGGGAAGGGAGGAGCATGGGAGGGAGTCAGGAAGGGAGGGACGCAGGGAGGCCGTTGTGAGAGCAGATCCCAGTTCTATTGTATACTTCAGCCCAGCCCAGGACCTGAGGTAAGAGATGGAGTTTTGGAGAATATGTTTAATTATTTATTGTTAACAGTTGGGACTCAGTGTTGTTGTAGTAATTCATATTTAGTCAAATGTTCTAATTAGTTTTGTATAAATTGTTTGGTTTCATTGTGATATATTTCAGGACAAATCTATTAAACACAGACATTTAAATGTTGCGTGACTCTCAGATATACTAACACACAAACATTGATTTTTGACAGGATATTATATATACATATATATGTTTTTGATTTAAGGTGGTATTTAACAAATAGGCACCTTTTTTATTCCTTACGTGTCAGCTCATGTGATTCTCTTACCTGCTTGGCTTATACCTGATGGACACATTTGAGTAAAGAGGAAGTAAAGGGAGAGAAAACAGCAACAGGATTCCTGTGGGGCATAGTAACTCAGATCAAGTGATGACAAGAAACACCTGAGCGGAAAATACACAACACACCCTCTGCTGCTGCCGTCTGTTGTGGGACTGATACAGTAATCCTTTTGTGTGTGTATTTGTCGACTTTGTGATTGTATTTCTTATATGTAATTTAAGTGCAGGTGTATTAATATTGTAATGACCTGGGGCTAATGATAGATCACTCTGAATACAGGCTTGTCGTACAACTGCAGTGTTGAAAGACAAACTAAACTAATTGGAATGTTTGAAATGTTACAATCAACAATTCACTGCCATTTTTGCTAGATTTCTTTTTGCTACAGTTAACGACTTCTGAAACACTACTGCATTACAGCAGATTGTGCTGTCGTGTCACTCAAAAAGTCTGTCAATTGCTAACAAACCTATGCATTAGTCATTAGTCAAACCTGCAGCCAGAAATGTGGTTAGGCCTTCCTGCTGTCCGGTTTGTCCTAGGACAGTTACAGCATCACTGGCATTACAACATCATTAGTTTAAAGCTTGGCTGCAGGTTAGAAGTCACTTTTAATCATTTTGGTGCCATATTTGCGGTCCAATCCAATGACCTTTAGAAGTCTGTAGGTATCTATCAATAAATACTTGACAGTTAGTAGGTTAGTAAACATTGGTTTTCATCAATAGACATTACCAAGTCTTCTCCATCTGTGTGGCTCATTAATGAGTTACTATTAATGAGTTAAGTGTTCTCAAACATGCCCAAAATACCCAATTTAATGACAAAATATTACCTTAAAATTCTCCTGACCTTCATCATTAAATACTGAACTCCCATGCTTTGGCTGGGGGAGAATGCTTTTCATCCAAGTAAATGCTGTTGACACTGTAGCACTTCCCAGTTGTACTTTTGAATCTAAAACTTAAAAGCTTTCTGGCTGAAGTTCTGCAACTCATACATTTTTTGTGTGTTTTTCTCCATATTCTTCCATCCTAGAATCATCCTCTGAAAATGCATGGCCTGTAAACCAACAAGTATGGCTCACAGGAAGAGGCCGGGGGCTAGTGGAGGAACCAGCCTGGCTACTCCGGGCCCCGTCCCCTGTCCCAGCACTCGTCCTACAGAGCCACGTGACCTCAAATCTCTCCCTGCCCGGCAGCGTCCAGTTCGCTACCCCAAAGAGCCCAGGAATCTCAAACACCACCCTCCTCCTCGCTCCTGTAAGCCTCAGTATTCGTCTACAGATTCTCAAGACGAAGGACACAATCATCCGGATGTACACGTTGACACGGATGTCGAGGTGAATCGGTACAACCACCAATCAGCAGAAGCAGAAGCAGAACTGGAGGACCGGCGACCACCCACGCCACCGACACCAGAGCATGTGCATGAGCAGGTGGACTTCCATGGTGCAGCCGACAGTCTAGATGATGATTCCAGCTCGGATTATATCAACAACACCTCCGATGATGAGGACTACGATGACGGTGAGCCATCTGTGTTGAAGGCCGGGTCTTTACTGCTACTGTACTGTGGTCAGGACAGGAAAATAGAACCGATACAAAAGGTTTTGTTTGAATATATAAATATAGGAAATGCGAATGCAACAATAGAAAAACCCAGCAAACCCTAATGGTTATATGGAGAGGGGAAGGGTTGTGCTACTTTAAAGGGGTTTAAATTCCCCGTGATGTTCTTCCTGTTTCACTTCTGCCTTGCAAAATCTGAATATAAGTACAGTCCATTTTGATTAGCTGTTGCTTAGCTACCACTTTAATAGTGAAGCTTTTATCAGCCAGATGACTTTGACCTTCAGCAGTTTCTTTAGCCACTTAAATATTTGCTGCTATGACTGGAGTAGCAGCAGTGTGTGTGTGTATATATATATATATATATATATAATCTTTGGTCCTTATTTGAGGACAGTTTTCTAACATGTCCAACAATTAACTGCTGCATGAGCAGCTTCTGAGGCTTTAAGGTGAATGCTGGTGTCAGCATGCTGATAGTGACAGTGCTCCTCCACAGCTGCTTTGCCAGGACCACATTTTAGCATGTTTATCATCTTAACTTCAGCATTTAAAGGCTGATGAGTGAGGCGACCTGTTATTAATATTAGACATACTAAAGTCATAGTTTTTGTTTTTCTGATAACTGTGGCTTTCGATGTTCCAGGGTTGGCAGAGGAAGACGAGGGCGTCACATACTACATCAGGTACTGTCCTGAGGATGACAGCTACCTGGAAGGCATGGACTGCAGCAGTCAGGGCGACTGCAACCACAGCCAGAGCCACAGCCAGGGGGACTCTGAAGGCAACATGCAACCTGTTGGACCACACACTGATGAATGCACTCAACGCGTGGAAGCCTGGGCCGTGGAGGGAGAAGACGAGGGGCAGATACGGAGGGAGGAGTGGGTGGAAGATGATGAAGGAGAAAGAGCAGTGAGTGAAGAGTGGAGAGGGGAGGAAGAAGAGGTGAGGGAAGAGTGGGCGGAGGGAGATGAGAGTGTGAGAGAAGAGTGGACCGGGGACATGGAGGTCAGGCAGGAGCAGTGGGTTGGGCGTGAACAGCACAGGGTGGAGGACTGGAGCGGTGGAGAGGGGGAGGTCCGCTGTGAAGTGGTGGAGCAGGATCCAGATGAGCAGATTTACAATGGGAGACCAGAACCAATTCTGGACCATCACCACCAACACCAACACCACCAACAACCCCCGCTACAAGACAGTCTGCACAACCAGGGTGATGAGGAGGAGGAGGCTGAGAGTGAGGAGTACTGCCCTAATGAGGAGGAAGAGGAAGAAGGTGAGGAGGATGACAGACATGGAAGGGTCTACACTGGGGACTACTACGCCCCAGGGGACAATGGAAATACAGTGCGAGTCTCACCTTATCGCAGCCGAAAAGTGATAGTGGTGGAGGGAGAGACAGGGGAGGAGGCGGAGGAGGACATTGACCAGATCGTTGCTGAGATCAAGATGAGTATGAGCATGGGGAGTCTGAGCAGCAGCACGGATCAAAGTCCAGAGGAGCTGGCACAGGACCCAGCACCGAGTAATTACCCCCACCCTAAGCCGGACACAGCCTCTTACCCACCAGCCCACCACCGACACGACAGCAGACCCAAGTCTCTGAACCTGCCCTCAATGCACCATAACAACACTGACCTCCAGAGGAGCATCAAGGCACATCCACGCTCCCCTGAAGACAGGCAGCGGTGGTCACAGGAGCAGGTGAGTCCTCTCCGCTGATAAAGTTTCATTACGCAGATTTTCATTTTTACTAAGTATTTTGGAAAAGTGTACAGACTTTTTTGGTAATGGTATTTGTAGACAGAGAAACACCTCATGTGAGTGTCGGCCTCCTCTTGTTCAGCGACAAAACACACATGGTGGCCTGGTGGTTAAAGAAACCGACATGTGTTCGAAAGGTCACAGGTTTGAATCCACTAGCCACCAGGTGCCACTGAGGTGCACTGAGCATGGCACTTACCCCCACACACACTGCCCCCTGGGCATTCAGCTCAAGCTGCCCTCTGCTCACTAAGGTGATGGGTTGAGGGCAGAGGTCACTTTTCTTTGTGTGCTGTGTCACAATGACGAAAAATCACTTTCATGTACAACATGGTCAGAAATGTGCGTGCTGACCGGTCAGTATACGATCCTTGTTTTCTACTTTACCAATAGAAGCAAATAAGCCACCATTTAATTCTATTAAAGAGTTAGAATAGACTAGGAATCAAACCTTGAACGATGTTCTAAGGGAATCTTAGATTCTAGTCATGTACTACCTGGCTGGTTATTAAAGCCCTGATTCATATGGAATCATTATGTACTTTAGCACAAACACAAAACTACAGTGATGTTAATTGCAGTGGTATAATTGTTTCTATTCAGTCCAGTCAAACATGGTAGTGCATTTTAAATTCATAATGACGTTTGGAATTATTGATGTTTAACTGTTACCTCACATCGTTCTACAATTAATGTTTTATTTATAGATTATAAAACCCACTGTGGTGAGTCTGTACCATGTATAGTGTGGGCTTTTTACAAATGCATGTAATGGATGTCGGCACAGAGCACATTTGAGTGTGACCGTTATAGGCCTGTTGGAGTCAAAGACTCTAACCACAAAACACTAAAAGCAATAGGACGCTGTTTGTTGTTGGTTAATTAGTTGATGACGAGGTTAAGGTGACGACCAGTCTCTGTGTTTTACTGCTGTACACAACACCTGCAGGGAGACTGAAGCTGCTCATCCATGAAGAACAGTCAAGACCAAAAGACTAAAACTGTGAAAAAGCATGTAAATCCTTATAGAAATTGTAATTAAGTCAGACTATAATTGTACAGACTCTTTTCATGCTTTTATTTGAAGCATTGATTCACAGCACAGCAAGGATTCTGTAAAAGACCTTTGTGCTATTGAGCCAGAGACTGAGCTCCAACTGACACTGGTGATGTTACTTATTGCTACCCAGAGAATAGACGCAGCTCCGCTCCTCCTCCCTATTACACCTTCAGATGCCCTAGCTCCCTCCCCCCTCCTCCCCTCCCCCCGTCTTCCTCGCTGTCTCTGTTGGTGTCTAACCACATTGAGAGTCTCAAACACACACACACACACACACGCTGCGCTCCCTGTGGTAGGAGAGGATGGTAAAAGGAGAAACAGGAATAGTCTCCTGTGGGCATCCTGGTGACACGCACCTGCTCCACAGTGTGCATATGCGCTTGTACACCCGCAGCGTTTACCTCATTTGTAACACACAAGTGGGTCAGGACGTGCAGCCAGATTAAAGATTATGCAGAAAGCGCTGCACATGTAGACGGATCTTGGTTTTTCTTCCTCTTATCAATGGAGTGAAAATATCTGTGCAGCACTTTAACATGACCCCTGAATGAACCAGGAAAAAAATACATCCAAAAATAACAGCCGTGCCATACAGTGAGGAGCCAATCAGAGACTGCGGTGTTAAATATATACCAGCAAGCTGCAACATTATAGTGTATAACAATCTGAATATAAATGCTCTAACATCAGTAAATGTTTATATTTTGTGCAACTTCACCAGTATTTTCACAGCTAAATATTCAAATTCTATACAAAGTTATTGGACTACATTACATAAAGACGTCCTCACTCTGTCAATGTTGTATTACATCTGCATCCAATTAGAGGCTTTTTTGGGAAAGATTATTGGGAAATGCTCCCAGAGTTGGCGTAGCAGCTTAGGCTACAAAATGCAGCAGCAGGCATCCCAAAATGCACTGCATAAGTAGTTTATCCCCTGACAGCTCCATGTAGGATGCCAAGGCTCTGTAGCACCACAGAGTGCAGCCCCGTAGATGGGACATACAGTAGAGTCCTCATTTTTGTATCTTGCCTTTTCTGTGTGCAGTACCACCGCCAGCCAACAGGCTCGGTATTATATGTAAAAAGTTTAGCCTTCAGCAGAGTGATGGGTTTGTTTTAAAGACAAAATATTTGGGTTTTATCTGTTATTTGTTATAAAACTGTAAAATGTAATGTTTAGTGTTTGACTTTGGAAAGAAGACAGAAACTGTTTTGTTTTTCTGAACAGTGAGTTGTGATTTTTCAACATTTAAAATCTTTCTCTCCACATGTTCCTGTCCTCGGTGTCCACCTGTGTGCAGGTGAGCAGCAGCGGTGCAGACCTGTCCAAAAAGCAGCAGCGCTCTGACCTCAACGTTCCCCTGGAGAACAACAACGTACCTGAGGTAAGACGTTCTGTCGTTTGGATCACTAGTGAGGTGCTTTGTATTTTCCTGTCGTTTGGTCACCGGGATCACTAGTGAGGTGCTTTGTATTTTAGAGACGATATGCCGTTTTTTATGACTCTGTGTGAGAACATGTGTTTTCTAAGGCCACGAGTAAATGAGTAATTGCACCATTGATCACGTTCCACACTGAGAGCGCGATGATGGGGTGATAATTTAGTAGCATGTTTACTCGCTGTTTTATGAGAGCCATTTTTCACTGACGTGTCAGCCCTGGATGCTTCCAGTGCAGACTCCACCCTTTGTCTTTGTCCTTGAATGGAGCAGAACATATAGAAGTGTTTGAGTGGGTTTAAGAATCAAGGATGGAATCTCATTGACTGTTTTATAATTCAGATGTTGTGCTCTCAAAGTTAGATTAGTATTCAAATGGAATGAAAAACACATTGAGCAAAAAAAATGACGCAAAATGAGTTTTCAAAGAACAAAAAAAAACCATCAAGGCTTCAGAGAAGCATTTAATACAAAGAAACAAGAAAAATCAGCAATGAAAAAAAAAGCACAGATCAGAAGTCTCTCTCTTTCAGCTAATGTTATTTTTACTACACAGTTAGCGGTCATTTAATG